ACGCCTGTTGCCCGTTCTTCTCCTTATACGACCCGCCTGCCCACGTTTCACTGCTGATATGTGTTTTTCTGGATCTCCAAGACGAGGTAGATCTAGGAGATCAGAGCTTTTGATTCTAAGTGAATTTTGTATGTGCCAGTTATATTTCAGAAAACCTCGTTCAAGTAGCCTGTGAGTAGTGCGTAGTGAAGTTGACGTTGATAAATCATCGGTCTCTGCTGCATGACACAGCGCCAGAAGGACATTGAGTCGAAAAGACAAGCGCGGATTTTGCGGTCCTTCAGTTGATCAGTGTTGAATCACTTATTTGCGTGCACTGAATACAGTGCATGCGTCATGCCACTTTCCTTCTTCTGTTGAATTCCTTCTTCATGTTTTTCTCGATGTTCACTGAACGTCTAAAGCACAGGTAAGGTGCACTCCCTGCCATCAAGGAACCATCCAATTTGGCCTGTTTTCCTCGACCCGCGTGTTTTCGAAGAAGTGGCCTTATTCTGATTTATGCGCTGCCCTTCTTTACCACTTCGTTGAGCCCACTGATCTCTGAGTGGTTGGTGCTTCTTGAGAAGATGACGATGTGATCGACAAAACAGCAATTTTATATAAATTCTCCATCAATACGTACACCTTTCTCATTCTAATATAATGACCTCATTATCTGCACCAATGCTACACTGAACAGTTTTGCCGATATGATGACACCTTCTCGAACACCTTCATCTACGAATGTGACAAGAGGTCGATGGAAAAAAAATGTACTTTCGCAATGCAGTTCCGATAATAGTCAGTTCTTATGTAGGACAGCTTCACTCTTTCGTTGACGAGCTGTGACAGGATTGCCTAAGTTATGACAATGTCAGATGCTCTTTCATAGTGGAGAAAGTCAGAATATGGTCAGCTGGCATTCCCAACAAACTTCTCTGACCCTGAACACGCTTTGGATGCAGCAAAATCTTTTTCTGTATCCTGTTTGCTCAACTGCTTCATTCAACGTTCTTGATATGAGCAAAAGGATAATTTTCGTAAAGAGCCTGCAAAGTGCGCTCAACAAGCATATCGATCATTATTTATGAAGATCCCTTGGGTTACTTTTCTAAGACGGATTGAGTGTGCGCGACGTCTTGATTCTGGAATTTTTTCTTTTTGAAGGCAGTATGTCATATAGCTTGCTAGAAGCACACATAAGTTGTGACCTCTAGCCCTAAGAAAGTAGTGGTACAACCGGGTCCTTGAACGTTGCCTCATTCTATCGGAACTCAAACCTCTGAGGAAAGAATATACAGGATGGTTTTTCTCCAGTGGCCATTTTAGGGTCTCAGATGGAGAATGTGAGACCGAAAAGGTTTCTGTAGAAGCATGCCGTTATTAACTCCACATCATGGAGAAAGGTTTTAGTGATCACGTCGTCGTTTTTCAAGGCTGAGAGAGAACACTGTAATCGCAAATTCCCGACGGCATTTTTTCGAACTGACTCTTATAACCGGTGGTCATTTAAGCTCGCTACTATAATGATCAACATTTGTTTATATTGTTAAGCTTACACGGCGTTGATGTGAGATGTTTATCCGACGAGCGTATCGACGTCTTCGTCTTCATCAGAGCCGGCAACACTCGTCGATGGTCTACAGTTGTTCCTCTTCTCGATGTGGCGCCTTCGTCTCGTATCGAACCGGATCTTCTTCAATTGAGCATCTCCAATGAGTAATACTCACCCGGTAACGCCCTTTCATACAAGGCGGTTGTTGTTGATATGATTATCAGTTGATGATAATTTGTTTTTCAACGGATAATCCACCCTGCGGCTATTGCTATTTTGTTGCCTAGCACATGGAGAATAGCAAAACAGTGATTTTGAAGATCTGATGAGCTGATAGCTGATACGAGCTGATGATAAGGAAAATCTGGTTCCATTCGAGTCAAAGACTCCACATCGAGAACAGGAACAACTGTGGACCATCGGCAAGAGTCGTCGGCTTTGAAGAAGACGAAGATGTCGAAACGTTAGTCGAATAAACATCTCATATCAACCTCGTTTAATCTCAACAATATAAACAAGTGTTAACTATTATAGATGTTGACTCTCAAATGTCGACCCTTTTTGCGTTACATAACACTTTTTTTTGCTTGTGCCGTTGTAGATCTTTTTGCAAAGCTTTTTTGTAGATGGTATTTATTAGTAGCCGTATTATTCGTGTTGCGAAAAGATCATGTTTTAGTTTCCTCCTATTCTCGAGCAACTCCTTACTGGTAATGGAGACGCCATCTGAACTTCTTCCTTGAGGAATTGAGGAGAAATCGTCGCAGTTTTTAAATTCGTCGACAATCAGCTCGTAGTATTCGGTTGGGTCCTCTTTATTCTGCCAGTTGGGTTTGGATAGGATTACAATCAGAATGTTTTCGATGTACACAGCTCGGCGTTATCTTCTTGGACGACGACATGAATTCCTTTTCGGCTTACGCCTAAACAGAATGTTTTCGCGAAGGCGACGGTGATTGGAACCATTGCAGAATGATGGGACTACAATTTATTAGAGAGGCAGACTTCCGTTTTCAGTGACGATTTTCTTTCTAACAAAAAAACGAGCTTCCATTTAGGTGGCATGCTGAAGACAGTAGTTCTACAAGACGATTTTATTCTCATCTTTTTCACCCAATCCAAGATTTCCGATCTCGCCCTCGTTGACTCTTTCTATGAGACATTATGTCCTCGCGATCAAATTTATATTACGATAAGTAATTAAGTAGAAGTCGCTGAGACTGATACTAGTCCGCATCTAATTGTTACTCATCAACTACATCGCTCGGTGAACAGCAATTGATCACAGCGATCTTCTTATGGCGCGTTGGATGAGGACGAAGTATGACTAAACGAAAAAAAATGGCTTTCGTGGAATCCACAAGATGGACAAGGGATGGGTAGATGATGAAGTCTACACCAGCATTTTGTAAGAGGTCGTTTTCTTCGCGGATGGCAAGGGTCCCATTTTTAGTTAGTTTACGCTGATCTTGTTTTTTTTCTTGTAGTGCGAATCACACCTAATTTATGTGATCTTCTGCATCAAGAAGGCAGTGAATATCGGCGTCTCAGAGTGTTCTGGTATTATACGCGCAGAGTGTGGAGCAATCTCAATGGCGTGCCGTGCATGTGATCACTAGGTTCGGTGCCAGTGGCGCCCTGCAAACACCGAGCTCACCGGTCGAATTACCTCATGACGTTATTGACAGGGGAGCACGGTGTCCGGACTGCTTAGGTTGGCCTATTGCTGACTGCGCAATTTGATCTTCTCAGTAGTCTTGGCTTAACCTTGCAGAAGCATCTACAGGTCTTCAACGCAATGTAAGTCTGAGAAAATATCTTTTCGGCAGCGATTCCCTCGTTCTTTGTTTCTACTAGTTGGCTACAACACGATGTTAAAACGAAAATCGAAAATGAAAGTAAGTATGAAAAAACGACCGACCACTCAAGGACGATGTTGAAGCCGAACTCAGCATCATAGACAGTTCATCTAATTGTATGTCTAGCCTTAACCTTTTATTTACTGCCTGTTCTTGTTAACGGCAGGGTATGCTGCGAAATATAACTATACTGCAAAATTTCACGGCAGGGTATGCTGCGGAATATAACTATACTGATTCTGATTACTGATTACTGAATACTGATTTCTCTGGATGAAATTGGAGAGACTCGAACGTATTCCTGAATCCTGTTTTTATAGATTTCTACAAAATGTCACTCAATATGTTTATTGAAGGAGCTACGTACAGCGAAGAAGTGTCCTCATACTCGGAAAACCATAAATTTCAGTTTATTCCTCGAAGCACTAGAGTCGTAGGAGTGAACGATCTTCTGTTTTACTGGCAGAATTATCCTTTTCTCTGCATTGTCTCATTCTGTTAGCTTTGCGTTTGTTCATTAGAGCTTCTCGAAAGGACAGCAGTTTCGTCGGTAAAAGTAACGGTAGTCCTATGGGATTTTTTCCTTGGTGGGCTGCCTTATTGTAAACCACGCTACTGCGTTAAAGGGTTTTGACTTGGTGATTCCTCTTATTCTATTTTCTAGGTTTTGCTTCTTTAGACATCAGATGGGACGAAGAGATGATCGGAAGAGATGAATAGGTTGTGTAGTTCTGTCACACAGCCAGGGCGCTATAAAATCATTGTGGTCGAGGAAAATATGACGTCTATTTCAATATTTGCATAGCAACAACATATCAACGTAACCTCGTGTTTGCTCAACATGAAAACAGCGTATTATTTCAATATTGTTAAGCTTTTCGCGTAGTCAAAAAAAGACATTGTGGTACTCGCTTAAAATTTCACGACCATAACGAAGGTTTAAGTGAGGTCCATGGGAAGGTGGTTGTTGGAACCCACTGTCCTCAAGTGGTTGAACTTCAGTGAAATCCTTTTGAGGAGATTCGAAGATTTCCTCAGTGGCACTCATTTGACGTGACAACGGTGACCGAATATTTTGACGCAATGTTGTCATTCCACTTGTAATAATTGGAAGAAATGTGTTTTCCGCGGTGTGAAGGAGAAACCAGAGTTCAAAATCTGCTTGTTCATAAAATTTTGAAGCTACAGCTAACGACTAGTTTTAATGGAACAACTGATTTAAAAAAAAAAATTGCGTCTCGTTGGACATTCGGCGCTCCATCTGGTTTATGGAAAAGAAATGGAAGCAGAAAAACGCTTTTCATGTGCTACAGAACTCGGTTATTAACGAAAACTCGCTATATTTTTTTCAGTCACCTCTCATCTGTCACCTGTAGTCCCGTTGATCTTCAAGTGATTCGAGCGGGCGCCAGTAAATCTTGCATTTTTCCCTGTCGCGTGCAAGAGTGGCCCAGTGGGTTCTGCTCGCTCTAGGGACTCGCCGAGCATCATATCCTTCTCCAAAAGCTCTGACCATCGGGTTGGTGGTATTCCAGCAGTGCGTTTGACATTCCGTGGAATCCAGTCACTAACGGCTCTTGTCCAACGGTTGTCATTCATACGCATTACATGTCCGGCCCCCTTGTCTTCGACTGTTTGGCGTACAGAACGGCATCTTTGACTTTTGATCGTTGACGCAGTTCGGAGCTTCGGATCCCATCCCATACTTGTGTGGAACGGGATACTCCTAGCATCGTCCTATCGACTGTGCGTTCGATAACGCTGAGTGGCCTTTCATCCTGCTTACGCAGCGACCAGATTTCTGACGCATACGTTAGGGCAGGAAGTACCGTTGAGTCGAAAAGGTGGGCACAGAGTCGGGTGTTCTTTGACCTCCTCACTACATCCTCGATGCTCTTGAAAACTCTCCAGACCGCTCGTTTTCTTCTGCTGAGCTCTGGAGCTAGGTCGTTCATCATATTGATTTTCCGACCTAGATAGATATAACTGGAGCATTCAGAGGTATACGTTCCGTTGAGCGTGAATGGGGCATGCGAAACCAATCCGTTCTTCACGAACATCATTTTTGTGAGATTTAGTCGAAGACCAATCTTTCCACAGGCTTTATCAAAGTCGTCAAACATACGTTCCACCTGACTAATGTTTGGTGTTATAAAGACGATATCATCGGCAAAGCGAAGATGATGTAACTGCCGAACATTGATTTTCGATGTTTTTCTTCAAGAAGCAGACACGAGGTTGTTATTACAGAATTTATTAGGATACAATAACTGACGTTTCGGCGGTTTCGCCTTCTTCAGAGCCTGGAAAGGGCGATTTGAAATGAGATCTATTCAGCCAAACACTTTCGTAACCCTAGGAGATAAAACTTAGCAAATAAATTTGTATTCGAATAAGAAACAGTTTCATTTAAACACCTACCGCTTATTTGTTGTAAGTGTTAAAGTTAGTTGGTGGATAGCAGCCGCACAGAGGAATACATGGGCTAAGATTGTGCCTGCGTCGGGTCATTGGATTAGCCTGAGCTCTGGCGCCAGGTCACGCCTGATGGCAAGAAACTCTTTACGGTTCATTTTTGAATTCTTGGAATTGATCCAAAACGTTTCAAGAGTTTTATGCGCTGATGTTTTCGATTCCTGCGTGAAGATGGTGATTCCTACTTCAAAATCTTCTCCGTTGTGATCCTGCACCCTATGTGCGCCTAGTAGAGTGCTTGGTTTTAATTTAGTTTTACTGAGTTGTTGTTCTTTTATGCAAACGCGGTGGTCTACTCTTTTTACCAGCGTATTCGTTACCGCACGTTTTACAAGAGATTAGATAGACTGTATCCGAACTCATGCAATCACCGTCTTAACAGTTAAGGCAAATTATGCAGTTTTTCACAATGTTATACCTTTTTGCTTTCTGCCTACTATCATTTCGCGGCAGGGTACTAAGCGAAATACAACCACAACGTTGCTGAGATATTTGCAAAACTCTGGACCGCAGGTGTCTATGGTGGGGAACGAACGCGCTATTGTCCTTTCCGGGAGGTAACGCGCTCACCACCACACCATGCGGGTCTTTCGATAGAAATAGCTGAGAGACGGGCAAAACGAAGGACTCGCATGGTGTGGTGGTGAAATGCGTTACTCCCCGGAAAGGACAATAGCGCGTTCGTTCCCCACCATAGACACCTGTGGTTCAGAGTTTTGCAAATATCTCAGCAACGTTGTGGTTGTATGCAGTTTTTCGCTGCACATAGACGGCCATACAGGCGGTTGCGAACTAGCTAGCGTCTTAGAGTGCCTGATGGTATTTCTACCACTCTTACGGAATTCTCTAGTTCTGTCATTGCTAAGACCAGGCTTCTCTAGACCAGGATCTGACGAGGTCGAAACAGCCGAAACGTCAGCTATTGTATCCTAATAAATTCTACAACAACAACCTCGTCTCTGCTTATTGAAGAAAAACGACGGATTGTCAATCAGTGCCGAGGTTAACTGAAATGTCGGTCTTACCGTCAAGTGGAAAAGGTGGGCAGGGAGTCAGGTGTTCTTTGTTCTCCTCACACCTTCCTCGATTCTCTTGAAAACTCCCCAAGCCGCTCGTTTCCTTTTGCTCAGCTCTGGAGCTAACTCGTTTATCATATTGATTTCCCGACCCAGATAGGCGTAACAGGAGCATTCGAAGATATTCTTTCCGTTGAGCGTAAATGGTTCATGCGAAACCGATAAGTTCCTCATGAACATCGTTTTTGTGAGATTTAGCTAAAGACCAATCTTTTCATAGGCTTTACCAAGGTGGCCAAGCATTCGTTCCACCTGGATAATGTTTGGTGTTATAAGGACGATGTCATCAGCAAAACAAAGATTGTGTAACCGCCGACCGTCGATTTTCACTTACATATTATTCCTTTCCAATGTCCTTATGACGCTTTCGAGGGTAGCGTTAGATTGTTTTATTGAGATTGCATCGCCATGTCTAAGTCTTTTTTTGACGTTAATGGTAGTTAATATCGTTGTAGAATGGTGATATCTTCGTTGTGAAGCTTTTGTACAGCTCACGAAAAATCTTTATGTACAGAGTAGGGACTTCTTGACTATCAAGGGCTTCCCAGACTGCTTCCATCTCAACTTAATCAAAGGCCTTCTGTAAATCGATGAAAGTGAGACAAAGCGGTCTTTTGTACTCTTGTGATACTTCAATGAGACGCGTTACCGTGAGGATGTGGTCCATTGTACTAAATTCTCTACAAAACCCTGTTTGCTCACATGGCTTTCCTCCGTCCAGTGTTCTGTCAATCCTGTTTAGGACCACTCGCGTGAAAAGTTTGTAGACGAAGGACAGCAAGGAAATTGGGCGATAGTTGCCGATATCGTGTAGTTCATCTTTCTTGAACAATAACACGGCTTTGCTGGTCCTCCATTGAGTAGGTACCTTGTATTCACGCAGGTAACATGTGAAGAGCTGAGCCAGTGTGTTTACGTGGACTAGCGGAAGGTTCTTTAGGTGTTCTGATCTTATCCTCTCCGCACCTGGTGCTGTTCGATTTTTCATCGACAAAATAGCCTGTCGGATTTCGGAAGGGAGAACCGGTGGTACAGCATATCCATCCTCCTTTATCGGAAGGTGGACGTGGCTATCGAAACCGTCTAGGCGTCGGAGTGCTTGGTCCGTCATCATCAATCATCTTGGTCCGTTAACTGGAGAAGCTTTGGTGGGCTTTACGAATGCTTTTCCCAGCCTCTGCAGCTTCGGCCATTACTGCTGCTCTTCTCTCCCTAAGATCTTCTTTTATCGCCTGTCTGCATTGTTTTACAAGCTCGGAAGCTAGTTCGCGGTTGCCTGCAACTCGTGCGATTCCACTTTGGCGCACAAGCTCGAGTGTTTCAGGAGACAGATGTCTCTTGGTGACTTTCGAACTCTGAGCTTTCATAACGCTAACGAGGTGTTGAATGAGCCGATCGTATTCTTCGTCGATGTTATCGACAATGGCCCCTTCCCAACAGCCGACTAATGAGTTGAATAAGTCTCGGTTGTGTGGTGCTTTTGGAACTTCGGTTTTTGAATTTAGCGGCTTTTTCTTCTTTCCGCGAGGAATAGAATCTTGTACGAAGGAGACGGTGGTCTGATCTCGTGTAGACGAAGAGAAAGACGTCGAAGCGTTAGTAGAGTTAAAGTTGCATAGCAACCACGTCTAAGCTATAGAATTTAAACACATGTTTATTACTCATGAAGACTGAAGGAAATCCGATTTTGAAATTGTAGATAATAGTTACTTAATTTGCCGGATAGCACAGTGGTAGTGATGTCCGTCATCACGAGTATGGCGCTAGGCCGATTCCGCTTCGGGCGAAAGAAGGATCTCCTCTTCGCCCTTCTGGGTCGGGAAATTGGTGCTGGACTTCTCTGGAAGAAAATTACTTTCTGGAATCCAAATGAGAAAACTCAAGCTCAGATATCTCAGAACTCCAAGGAAATTTGCTCGACCTTCATTCTACATTCGAGATGAAATGAAAATCCTCAAGCAGCACCCAAAACCACACGTGAAAACTTGCAAGGCTTTCGTGGACAATGTATGCGAGAAAACGAATTGGATGTGAGAAGTGCAGGGATCCGCACAGTAGACGTGAAAACGGATCAAAAAAGGATAAAGGATAAGGTGTCGGCGTTGATCAATTCCTGAAGGAAGCACCGTGCACTCGACTTCATTAAGCATCCTTGAAGGTGACTGAATGCATATCTGGCCTTTATAATGACGCGTGGTTGCCTACCGATGTATCGAGCCAGTACTGCCATACTCCCAGATAAGTCTAGTACCAATTAGCCAACTCCAGAGGGGTGGAAGGCTTGGCGAGCCACTGGTGCTGAGATCGATCTCATATGTATTGAAGAGCGCTTCCGATTACTGCGCTACACATGCACCGTGACATATGCCCCATGCTATGGCGAGAAATTAGCAGAGAAACTTTTGTGCGCCTAAATAAACGAACAGAAAGAATATTATACCCACAGCGCGGTTTGCTGGTTATTTCTGAGGCTACATTATAACACCTATAGGTGTCACTCGCCGTGGGAGTGTTAAACGAACGCCAAAGTAGAATCTTGTTCATTTTAAACATAGAGTAAAACAGAAGGCCTTTACTAATGAGGATTAAACAGGATTTTACTCATGGGTGATGCGCCATATTAACCAGAATACGTTGATTTCAATGCACATCCTCGGCCGTGAAAAAACATGTTTCGTATTTCGCGACCACCACTGACAATTAGCATCAACACGAGCATGCTGGATGCTATATTACAAAACATTCCACATAGGAAAAAAACATGGAAAATGAAAATATACAACATATACAAACGTATATCCTCCCAGCAGATTACCGTCTCAACGTGGCTGGGAGCTGTTCCTGGGTGTCAGGCCACGATGTACAGCGGGAGCATTCGTTCCCTAGCAGGGTCTCCCAAGGTGGAAAGGAATTCGGCGCAGAGATGGCATCAAACTGTTCACATGGTGACATGCTTTCCTCTAATCCACAAAGGCGGTGACTGCCTGTGGTGGAGACGACGTGGGAAAGAGTTTGGACCGGCTGACCTTGGAACTATAGGGAATCGCAACGGCTAAACCAGCGAAACCCCGAAAATTGGAGAGTATGCTGGGGCCTGCAGAACCAGTGAGGACGGGCCGTCCAAGTATCCGAGTAATTTTGCAACCCTTAATGATTCTATCAGTGAAAGGTTACGCAGGTCTAGATGAATGTCAATACTAAGGTCACTTAAAACTTTATCGCCTAGAACGTTTTTTCTAATAAGATGTCTAAGACAAAAAAAATAATGACAAATATCGTATGAGGTTGAATAGTGGGGCAATAAGAGCCCGTCGCCGAGGTACTTTGGTAGATTTTCCGATAATTCAATTTTTGGTATGATACACAGTTTCCTGGAGTCATAGAGATAAAGGCATGGATGAGAACTAACAAAGGATTATGACAAAAACCAATTGAGTACACAGCTTGTGATCTCCTCAATGGATTTCTTGGCCACCCAGAGTTTTTCATAAGAGTCCGTACATAGCTAAAGCCGAAGTTGAAACTGTCATAGATTAAGAGCCGTCCCATCTGTAACTTCTTCTTAAATTTAG